CCCCCCCCCCCCCCTCCTCCCCTCCTCCCCTCCTCCTGTCACTTCTTCCCTCCATTGCAGTCTCGTGCTCAGCCTTTCACTTCTCCGTCTCCTCCGTCCTTGTCTTTGTTGGGCGTCTTCCTCTTATTCCTCTTCCTCTTCTTCTTGTCTCCTCCCTCCTCCTCCTCCTCTTTCCCCTCCCCCTGCCTCTCGTCAGCAGTAGCGCAGTCAAGTTATGCTCTCACCCAGTACTCCTCCGCGAAGTGCTGGTGTGCCGGTTCCAGGCCTGACAGAACGATCATGAGCAAGAGAGAAAAGGAGCCAAAGGAAGGGACAGAGGGGAGAGGGAGGAGAGACGAGGCAGGAAAAGGGCCGGGGGGGGAGGAGGGGAAACACGGAAGAATTTCACCAGCTTCTGATATCTTGCAAGTCGCTTTCTCTTCAGGTTGAGGATTTCTGTTTTTCTTCTACACACGCCAAGTCAATAAAACCATCCCGCACCATCCTCCTCCTCCTCCTCCTCCTCAGCAACCTCCTCCCCCTGCCCCTCTGCCCAGTCGCCCCCTCTCCCTCTCTCCCAGACTTTTGATCCTCTTCCTTTCCCTACCTCATTCCTTGCTCTCATTTCTTTCCGCTCCCCATCTCCCTCCCCTCCCCTCCCCTTCTCTTCTCTGCTCTCCTCCTGCTTCTGCTCCGCTGGCTCGTTTCGTTACCATGGTGATGAGTCGTCTGCTCAACTTAGTGCTGAGAACATCTTCGCAATTGTACATGAGCGACATGCAAGGATGCTGCAAAGCACGTGCGTGAGAAATAGATCAGAATGCCCTTCTGATACACTCCATCCCAATCCTCTCAATTCATCATCATCATCTCCAGCATCAACTCCATCTTCATATTTATCATATTCATCTCCCTTCATAATCATTATCATCATCATCGTCAGGAGCAGCGGCAGCAGCAGCAAACTCCATATTCCCTCATCAATTTCTCCTTCCTCGCTCCCCATTTTCTTACTTGAGGCAGATCGTCAGCGTTGTAGCTCGTGGTAGTCGGGAGCCAGTAGACCAGCCTGATCGACAAGGGGAGGTCATTTCCTCTTCTACTGCTGCTTCCGTGTGTTCCCTCCCTCCTCCTCCTCCTCCTTCCTCCAACCCCTCTCCACCCTCCTCCATCCTCCCTCTTGACCCACGAGTCTTCTGCACTCCTTCTTCTTCCCCAACACACCGCAACCCGTAACACTCCCCTCGTCCTCGTCCTCGTCCTCGTCCTCGTCCTCGTCCTCCTCCTCCTCTTGATACTCTCTATAACCTTTACCTCTCACCTTCCGCCCACACAGAGATAGTTGGCAGCAAAGTTAAGCAGATTCTACGTCTGTCTTCTAAAGTTTGCGAGGAAGGGGTTTCTTACCCCGAAATGAGCAGCAGCAATGAGCAAGGAGGCCGAGCCACAGAACGGGTCGAAGACAAGTTTTCCTGCCGAGGCTCTGTTAGCTCGCGTTTGTTGTGTTCGCTCCCAACGACACGTCGGCACAATAAAACGAGATGACAAAGATACAAGAATCATCGAATTTCATTACCTTTGCCAGCATGTGCGAAGTTTGCAACCAAAAGGAATTTTCCGCCTGAAACCAGGCGGACCAAGAGTTACGGGGGCTCTGAGACCAGAATCCTCTACACACCGTCATCGAAGTTGAGCAGAGGTATTCTCGCTTCTTCAGATCGTATCTGCAACAGTCTCATCAGGGGCTGTCTTGCACGTCAGCGTCGCGGGTACTTGTCGAGCAGGTGTCTTTGCCCAAGGGCAATCTCACGGCAGAACCATCTCCGGTGAGGCTTCAACTCTGCGTCATCACGGGACAAGAAGTCAGAGGATCACTGACATGCCAGCACATCAACTGATCGCATCAAGACGATCACTTGAACAACATCCTCGGCATGCTCAGAAACATTTCCACCTACCCTGACCTCACCTTTTGCATGTGATATGCCCTTGATACAGCCCACGTCTTCCAACCACCAGAACTGGTTTTCCGCACGCGGTCCTCGCCCTGCATGAAAGAAATCATAACTGAGCTCGGGCTACATGCAGCACATCTCTACCCGTTCTGATCCCCTTCCGAGTTTGGTCCATCATCACCTAAAATACATCATTCCAGCGCACCAGCCTACAAGCTCACATCGCACCTTCCCCTTGAAGTCTATGTAGTCGAAGCACTTGTTGATGATGGACTTCCTTGTATCCTCGTCAACGTGTCCGCCATAGCTCACAACGTTGATCTTGAACGTGGTCCCCTCTGCTAGGAATGGATCCTTCCTGTCAGGGTCGTACGACTGTGCCTGATCCGCACATGGCTTGCAGGTCAGGGACAGCACAGGTCGTCACGAGCATCCTGTACCTTCTTCAGCACATCGTCCACCTCCACGCCTTCTCCCCACGGCTCAAACACGCCCTTGACCGTGACAGACCGGGAGCAAAGAATCCTCGCACTCTCCTCCGACGGGAGTTCGACTTGCATGAAGGGGCACTCGTCTCCCACCGCTCCCTGCCTCACCCATTCCATCTTCGGCTCTGAGATCCCCTGCTGCTCCAGCAACGACCTAACTTCCGCTTCCCCGAACCCCAGCCTTCCCGCCGCATGCACGAACAGCAGCAGCAGCCGCATTCCTGGCGGCCGCGACCTCATCCCCCCGCAAGCCCCCTACCTTGACTGCGAGCCCTGCGCGGCTGCGAGCCAGGCGAGCCAGCTGGCGAGCCAGACTCGGTCGGACTGCGAGCCTGGCCCCCCGAGCCTGGTCCGGGCGCGAGTGCAGTGCCGCGAGAAAATGCCCGCGGCCCGGCGCGGGTGCCGGGCCCGGCCGGGCCGCGCGCCGCCGGGGCCAGGGCCAGGGCCGCCAAACTTCGGAACATGACGATGACTCGCGGTAACTTGATGACGGTGTAGTATGACTCTGTGACTGAGCATGCTAACTTTAAGTTAGTAATTATCCGAAACAACCGTGACTGAAAAGTATGTGACAAAAGGACTCAGTGAATATCAAGTTACACACAGGCAGCACATTGTCACGTGCACTTCACAACTCGTGACGGGCCCGCCCCTCTGCGCCGTCGCCTGCTTCAGCTTCCGCACGCTCTCCGGCCTCAGGATCTTGGAGATCGCCGACCGGCTCCGGCCGAAGATCGCCGCGATCTCCGTCTGGCTCATCCATGTCGTGGTCTCGTAGAGCTCGATGATCTCCAGCTTCTGCATGAGCGACAGCTTGGACTTGCCGTGACAAGCCTTGCTGTGCGCTCCCCGCTCCTCCTCCGTCCAGGCTCGCCTCTTGCGGGACCCGGCCACTTGCCAGTTTGCTGTAGAATTATCAAGTGTGTCAGGACAACTCTGCGGACCAAGAACTTCAATGGATGAATCGATTGTAACATCGTACGGCTTCGCGGAAATGTCAGTAAGAGGCACTTCTAATTCCTGCCCCTGCTGAGACCACTCTCCCACGCAAGCGGCTCTGACCAGCGCTAAGATAGATCTCCGCTCCCTTCCCAATCAGCAACAGAGGGACTGTCACCCAGAGGCCATCGGTGACAAGACAGTCGGAGCAGGTCCTCCTCCTCCAGAAGGGGGGCGCAAGCCATGGAGGTTTGTTTGACTCATGCTAGGGGCAATCATTCAAGGTATCAGTGCGTGTAGAGGTAGAGGTTGCAAGTCTTGCCTTCTGCCGCTCTTAGCTCAATAAAGATGACGAGTTGCGCCTTATCGTGACGTTGCGCCCCTACCCACTACCCTCACCTTCTTCGATCAGGATACTAGTAAGTTACATACCTTCTGTATCAATTCCCCGTCCCTGCTCCTTCTTCTTGCGCTCTCTTTGCCTGTCCCTCCTCCCCTATCCACTGCTTGCCTGCTTTAGGTCTGTCAGTCTTGATGGCTGTTATGCATAGATTGGGTTCACAGTTGAAAACTACAACTTGTGTTGAAGTTATGATGATGATGATGACTTTGATGCAAAAGTCCAACTGTCATGCCATCAACTCAGAACTAATCCCGATCACGCAATGAGACGTGTATCGAAGCGATCTCTGATGACAACCAACTTCTCGCAGCGTGATCCCTTCTGGAGCTCATCGGCAATCCCTTCGACACACACGTGAACCTTGTGGTGAACAGAAACTGGGAGCAACTCGTCGGGAGGCTCCATCAGGTTTCCATTGGAGATAAAACCCAACCAATATCGCATGAAAATCATGGAAGCAGGTATGATAACAGTGCAGTCGAAACAGCATCCTGACTGTGCATCATATAAGCCCTGCTAAAAAACATCCAGATGAATGAATAATACATCATGATACTCGCCCACACACAAGACATGCCCGTCATGCGCAACATCGCGACAATGCTGCGACCACCGCCTTGTATCTCTAGTTTCATTCTCATCAAAGCCTACTACGGTAGTATTAGGTCCCCGCGGCACGCTCGACCTCGTTGGAGGCTCATCTTGCATGCCCAGGCCGGTCCCAAGGCTGCAGCGACACTAGAGCCCTATCAGACCACGTCACCTCCGCATCAGGCCCTTCTGACCTCCCCGCGTAGGCAAGCCAGTCTCCAGCCTAGAGCGCCGCGCTCTGCGAGCGTCGTCTAGGACGACTCCAGACCAGCTCTCGCAAGGCAGCTCGGGCACCCAGCGGCACCCAGCCGCCGAGCGCCGCCCACGCGAGATCCGCTGCCTGCCCTCTCGCTCTGCACGCTCTCCCGTGCGTACCCTCATCGTTCATATACAGTTGGTGTATCGACGCCATCGCCGCCCTGGCGCTGGTGCGCTGACATGGACCCGCAGACCGCCAGCCCGCTCTCACACTCCCTCGCTCTGCTCCCTCCTGGTGGATGTCAGCCTGGTCCGCCTCACGTCTACCCCGCCCCTCTGCGCCGTCGCCTGCTTCAGCTTCCGCACGCTCTCCGGCCTCAGGATCTTGGAGATCGCCGACCGGCTCCGGCCGAAGATCGCCGCGATCTCCGTCTGGCTCATCCATGTCGTGGTCTCGTAGAGCTCGATGATCTCCAGCTTCTGCATGAGCGACAGCTTGGACTTGCCGTGACAAGCCTTGCTGTGCGCTCCCCGCTCCTCCTCCGTCCAGGCTCGCCTCTTGCGGGGCCCGACAAGGCCGTCCAAGTCCGTGAGGGCGGCGACAAGCCCCGGGGCTTCCTCCGCTCCCCCTCCCCGATCCGGCTCGGCCGCTGACGGCTCCAGCGGCTCCAGCCAGCAGCAGCTCTCAAACTCCTCTCCGCCCCCTCCCCACTCCTTGTCCGACCATCTCAGGCTCAGGCTGCTCGCCTCGGGCCCCGAGCTCGCCGGCGACGAGGGCGTGTGAGGAGCCTCCTCGGACTCGGAAGGAGTGCCGATCAGGTCCCAAGCATCGAGAGGCCATCGGTGATAGGACAGTCGGAGCAGGTCGTCGTCCTCCGGCTCCGGAAGCAGAGCGGCAGCGAGCTCGGAGGAGGAGGGAGCACGTGGGAGGCAGCAGGGAAGCATTCAGAGGATGTCAGTGCCCGGGAGGGTTTCTTTTTAACGCACCCTACTACTCCCCGACATGGGGAAGCAGTCACGCGAGTTTCGGAGGCCTGGCTGGTGGTCGACTACCCCCTACCCCCTATGCAGGTGATGAAATCACCCGTAGCATCGAGTACCCCTACCCGCGCAGCTTGTACGGGCGGGCACCGGTGTATCAAAATACAGCTTTACTACAAGATGTTCACTTTCTGCGGCAAAAAAAGGAAGATGATTCCGAGTCGGTTCACATCTGCTGATTGTCGGACTTGGTTCTTCGGATCGGCAGTGCTTGTTTTTCAACAGCTGCTGCGGTTAAGTTTCCCGCGCTCCGGCTTGTCAACTTCTGTCCTGAGGCGCGCTCACGAGCAGTTGTGACTCGTGACCTGCTCTGGATAAGGGTAGCGGCTATCTGACCTCCTTGACCTCGAAGCTCCGAGTCTGCAGTGTGAGACGTGAGAGTCCCCTGCTGCTACGCACGTCCTACCAGCCGCTCAGCCTCACATCATGATACTCGCCCACACACAAGACATGCCCGTCATGCGCATGCAACATCGAACAATTATTGCCATGGACCAACGAGACGAATCGAGATGTCAGCAGCAGTACTGTTCACTTTTTGTATCAG